AGAACAGCATGACTGCCAAGTCAAAAATTGCTCCCCATCATTTGTAGAATTAGAAGCTAATTAGTAAAAAGAGGTGTTAATTGTACCAAAGCCTCACATTCAAAAGAGCTTATGTGCCAAACTCGAATTATGGACATCATCACTGCTAGTTTGGCACTGCTCTTCAAAAGCTCCTCAGTCAGGCTGAGTAGTGGTTTGAGAAGCAGTATTTATGCTCTTTTGATTAATTTCCATCTGCCAGAATAACCCTCAGCTCATCTGCAATTATATGCCAAAAACTCAGATATTCAAGGATATTAAAAACTGCCTGGAGTTCAATGCAATATGTTAATATAGGACACATTTACAGACAATGAGTCTAGCAAACCAGTCTAGCTTCATTTAAAATACACAAACAAGCATCCTGGTCTAATTACCAGAACTAATCTAAAAGAATCAATATTTCTCCAATCAAGACATAAAACACAAACCTTCATTCTATTTACTCAGCAATGTATAATTGCTTCTTGAGTCTGCAGACTGTGATGTTCACTTTTTAAGCCCATTGAACATGAACTACTTATTTTTATTCATTCTATTTAAATTCCTTTTGCCTTTACTATAATAAACCAGATTTTCAAATAACTGGAATAATTGAAACTTCACTGCATTAATAAGAAGTATTTTTTTTCTGTGAGTAAGTTCATTTATTCCAGGCAACTGGGAGCTTATCCTAAACCTGGTTTGACTGACTGCTCACAAGTTTCTACTCCCAGGCACTACTAGAGGCTCACTCTTAACTCATGCTTAAGGTCAGCATGTCCTCAAGGTTTGCTTGTATAACTGCTTTTAGAGTTATTACTCATCCCAGATCTGTACCAACAAGATATATCTTAAGATAAACTGTTGAGTTTGGGCTTTTTGCTGACGGTTTTTTGGGGGTTTTTTTTGTTGGTTTTTTTTTTAGGTTTGGGTTTGTAGGAGGTTTTTTCTAATTTTAATTTAGAAATCTTTATTGAATAGATAATTTCCATAGACATTAGGGGACAGTTAACTCAGTTAACCTGGTAAAGCTGAGAAATTGGTAGCAGTGGGCACAAGGGGATGAACAGCCTTAACAAACAGCGCCTGCAGCTGAGCTGTGAATTTATGTTACCAAATGTCCCAGCACTGCACTGGCCCCCAGCCATAAGCAGTGAAGATGTTTTCCTTCCAGGGCACACAGAACAGTAACAAGTGGCATTGCTATACCTTCACTACAGGGAAAAGAACTGCACAAGGAGATGCTGAGATCTTTTGCTCCCATCTTACAATAGAGATCCCAATTACCCAGACAATTTCTTCTTGAATGAGATAAAAGCTCACAAAACCGGCCTTGTTGTTAAGTCATAATAATATTACATGGAGACACATCCTGTGACAGTATTTGTATTCCCATCTATACTTGCTGCTGGCTTTGCAAAGTACTGCCAAAGGTCCTGAATGTGTGCCCTTCACAACTTACACGTGTGAAAACAGTTGCTCCAATGGCAACAGTGACATTTTCAAAACAATTATAAAAGAGTAAGGGTAAATGCCATTACAGCTTCTTATAAAGCACTTTCAGTTTGGATTATTTTTTTCTTCTCAAAATAAGCATCCCTAGGAGATCAAGTTTATAGGTCCTTGATTTCCAACAGCTGATCCCTCCAGCTAGAAGTGGATCTTCTGTTAGCCCAGAGCTGTGACCACCCTGGCAGGGCTGAATAGTGATGGGTCCCAGGCACAAATGTACCCAGCATTGTCCAACAAGGATGCCCTTTCCCTAAGATTTCTGGGGAGCAAAGCTAGGTGGGGTGCAGTTTTTGGAGAGCAGGAGGACTGAGTGGTTCAGAAAACACCACTGTCATGCTCACTTCTTCCAAATAAAAGTTACAACAAGGAGAGCTGAGGTGATCTTCTGATGCCCACCTCTTATACGTGGGTTCAGTAGCTAGAGGAGACATACTGAAGTGAAGGACATGGAAACAATATTTGCCCTGTCCTGAAAGAGTTCAGAGCAACACTTCCCACCTTGCAGAAGAGTGTTCCCATGCTACAACACACCTAACACACCCAGACCTGGAGTGTTTGTAGACTACTAGAGAAAATTAGTCCTTGGTTATTTTCATAGTGTTCTGACTCAGTGACTTATCAGTGACTAATTATCTGTTAAAAACAGATAGGAGAGAACATTACTTCTGCATGTTATGCAAAACTGACTTTTAACTTAAGAATTAGATCACGTCAGACTAACAGCAAGGGTGGCACCTCTGGTAGCAGCTTTTCAGAACATGACCCTGCCAGTGAAGAGGCCTCTGTCTTACTGGGTTTGAAACAGCCCGTTACCACAGCTTCCACATTGGTAAATTAAATATGAAAGCAGAGAATGTAACTGGTTTTCCAATGTACTTTACATTTCTCCTTGTCCGAACTACCGAAACTCTTGAAACTGTGACTGCCATGACTGCTTTTGTGAGCTGCTTTCAGGTCTAGCCTGATCAATCTTTATGTCCACAAGCTCTTTGCAAAGAATGGGTTTTTTCCCCCCTCTTTGTGGACCCCACCTAAGCTTACACGAAAGTTCAATCTTCCATCAATTGTTACAGTTTGAGAAAGAGAAATCCCTCCATGAAGACACACAATAAGTACAACAGCAGCAGATGACACCTACAGGGCCTCTGCCAGTGCATAAACCCCAATAGGAAGGAGTGTCTCTTATGAGACATTCTATCCTAATTTAGTCTCCCTATAATCCAGTCCCTCACCACCTTGTCTGTGTGCCTGTTGGTACCTGTTGTGCTTTAGTTCATGAGGTGGGGATTTGCTCCCCAGTAGTAGCATTCATAGGGATGCTGAAAAGCTCAGTACAATTTCCATAATCCACATTAGAATCTACCAATCCACTCAGCATTTATAGAATCCTAGAACCACAGAATGGTCTGGGTGGGAAGGGACCTTAAAGATCATCTCATTCCAAAGCCTTGCCATGGGCAGGGACACCTTCCACTAGTCCAGGTTGCTCAGAACCCCATCCAACCTGGCCTTGAACACTTCCAGGGATGGGCATCCACAGCTTCTCTGGGCAATCTGTTCCAGGGCCTCACCACCCTCACAGGGAAGAATTTCTTCCTAATATCTAATCTAAACCTCCTCTCTGTTAGTTTGAAGTAATTGCCCCTTGTCCTGTCACTCCATGCTCTTGTAAATAGTCTCTTTCCATCTCTGTTGTAGATTCTCTTCAGGTACTAGAAGGCTGCAATTAGGTCACCCTTCAGTCTTCTCTTCTCCAGGGTGAACAAACCCAATTCTCTCAGCCTTTCCTCACAGGAGAAGTGCTCCATCCTTCTAATCAGCTTGGTGGCTGTCCCCTGAACAATGTGAAGGCTGAAGGAATTACTCATGGCATTATTCAACCCATGCAGCTTCCAGCATGGCCATCCCCTTCCCTCAGAACATTTCATTTCCAGTTTATTCCTCCTTGTAAGTTTTAGAGACCCAAGATTAGACACCCACGCACGTGCTACACAAGGGCACAGGCAACAGGCCCGGCAGCCTGCAGGGCTGAGGATGAGAAGCCCAAATTCTCTTTTCTCCAAAACAGAAGCATGGCTTGAAAATTCAAGAGCTGTCACAATTCAAAATCCTGCCCCCCAAGCATATTTTAGCTGCTCAGTAACACATTGATGGCCTTTTCAAGTCTTAACAGACAAAGAAGAAAAGCAAAAACCTGTAGCCATGTAAGTTGAAAAATATCCTACAAAACAGCAAACACAAAAAAAGGGTATTTTTCATGCATTTCTGGGGCATTGCTATTATGCCAGTGTCAACGAGCCCAGGCAAAAATACTTTACACAACCAGTTTTGAAAGCAGCTGGTCACTAAGACATTGCAACAAGGCTACTTTAATGAATCAACCTATTGGGTCTCTCTTCACACACCAAAGCTGCAGGCAGTCAGCATTACCAGATTCAGCTACAATAACTATTTTTGGGGGGTAAAATTTCGATATTTGGGGTTTGCAAAAAGTGGCTATTAGCCCACTTAATGACCTGGAATCAATGCTTTAACTTCCTCTATAGCACAAAAATGTACATTTGAAAGGGATGTAATTTTGCACAGGATCAGAATACATGCCCTAAACACAGACTGTGGCTGATCCAGTACATGCTGCCCCATGAATCAGAGCTTTGAGAAACATCTCACAGAAACCAACATTTCTTGGGGGACTGCTTGTCCTACAATAGATCTTGAAAGGTTATAGAATCCCGGAGCAACAATCTGGGTCTTTGTAAAATCACCAAGACTAAATTACCTAAAAAAAGCCATAAAAAAAGATACTAATAGCCCATGTAGGGGCGGGGTATCAGAGATGGTCACCAAAATGTCAATCTATAACACTAACCTAGGATTAGTTTTAGGATCCCATCCTGAAAAAAAACAAAACAAACTGCCCTACTGCTGTGTCAGTGGGGTCTCAGCAGCCTTCCACTTTCCCTGTCACTGCTTGTAGAACAGACTAGGAAAAAGAAAAAAAAGGCAAAAAGGAGGAAGTTTGTTGATGTACTTAATATTTTCATACCCGGTTACTGGACAAAATTTAAAGATGTTTGGATTAAAGGCAGCCTAAGACGACCCCAGAGCCAGCATTCTATGAACTTCATAAAGGAGCGTTGTAAAGGCACAGTTCTCCACTTAAGGAAGGAGGAGATAGATAAGTATTTCTAGAGTCCCCTGGAGGCTTATTTGTGGTTAAGTCTCTGCTGCAATGATTACCAACACATACAACATACATGAGACAGCAAAAGCAACAAGCTGAAGCGCTGATTTCATTCCTAAATTAAAATTCTCAGAGTGGGAGACTTCTGACGCCTCTCCCAGCAGTTCATGCAGCTCTATGAAAAGAACAGGATTTGCACACGTGGTTTTTTTTTTTCCCTAAAACATTATTGCTACAGACAGAACGCAAACACAGAAACATGGGGGAAGATTTTCTTTCTTACCACCACCACCACCACCGGGGACCACTTCTGGCACCTGGCAACACTCAGAGCAACAGGAGAATCCCCATCTCCTCCCTCCAGGGAAGTACCACTGCTTATGTTTCAAGAGATTTGCTTTCTCATTTGCCTATAAGCAAAAAAGACATTTTTCAATGAATGAAGGCAAAAATATTTTGTTTAGAAGCAAAACACAATGCAAACAACACCCAGCTGCAAGCCCAGGTAATGAATTCTTTAACTCAAACATTTCTTACTAAAATTATGTGTCTTTCTCTTTTCTCTGCAGAAAAAAAAAAACCAAAACAACCCTACAAGATCCTTCTTCCCATGTGTAATACCACACTCAGCTCCACAGGTACCAACTACTTTTGCTTTCAGGGGGTCTAACTGGCTCATATCTACGAAATTAAAAGCAAGTGTTCTCAATTTACATTAAGTAGTGAAATTGCAGCTTCTATTCAGAACGGAGCAAGGGCTTGCATACACAAGAACTAGCCTACTTTTCCCCAGCTTTACTAATCAGCATAACAAAAGGTATTTCTTTTACCTACAAATCCTGTCTTGAGAGAAGTTACTGAAAATGAAGCAGAAGCAATTATCTGCCCTCCAAACACACACTTAATCTCTGTATTTTATTAAGAGTGTTTTTTATGATCCTGAGGCAATTAAGCTAATCATTATTTAATTTTAGATTGGTGAACTGGAGATTTACTTCAGACACAAGCTCACTTTCCACATAATTTAGTCTCAGTAATTAGAGATGTACTTTACCCAGAGGTGGCTTGTTTAAAGTGTTATCTAATTTCACAAGCCTTACACCATGAAAATTTCGTGCAGAAATCTTCAAACTTAAAGAGGAAACCCCCCAAAGAAACTCAGATTTACCAGACTGCAAACCTGTTTTTCTTTAAAAAATAAAAAAAACGAATTGAAAAGATTCTTCAAACATCGGCCCAACAAGTTCATGTATCACAAAACCTAACAAAAAGCTGTAGAAACAACCCACCAAAACTCCTTTAGAAAGTCATTAGAACAAACAGTGCTCCTCTCACACAAATTGCTTCATTTATGACTTATTTTAACCAGGATGTAAAGTCTGCAGGAAAACACAAATGCCTTACTAGGATGCCCAGCAGGTACCTGCCATGGGATGGAACCTGCACTGACTCATCCAGTCATTTATAGATTTCTGTGACAGTGTTATCAGAGGAACAGAAATAAGGACCAGACCTGTAGGTTCATACTGTACATATTGACCCTGGATATCAAGCCACTGGAAAACTGCTCAACTCCAACCCATTTCAGACAAATTTGTGTAAAAACATTGTTGAAAACAAACTGTACTAGGAAATACTGGTTAGCCCTGGTTGCTCCTGCCCACCTGGCTACCAGTCTACCTGGGCTGGCACATTGCCCAAGGCCAGTTTAATGTCTAAACACATTTGCTGGTTTTTGGAACAAAGGGTATCATCTTCCCCCACAGCCATTAAAGAGAAGGAAATCAGATGACATGGGAAGCATTTGAAAAACAGACACTACTTCTCGCAACTTTTTGTCTTCAGAATTGTCCAGTAAAGCCAACACATGCAAGTGCTCAACACTCAATTAAAAGAACTCTATAAATGAAGAATTATCAGATTCATTTCAAGACTTTAGTGCCAGTACTTTTTTGAACCAACTTGACTTGACGCACATAAGAAAAGCTATAGAACTCATCAACAGCACTGAAGATTTCAGCAAAGACTGACAAAGAAGCATTGGGATGTGAAGCTACAAAGAGATCGGGACACAACAGGCTTGATGTAGGGAGTTTACTCAAAATAAATATAAGTAAGTCTCAGCTACCTGGATATTCAAAAACCACTATTTAATACTTTTCCATGTGGCATAAGATTACACATGTAAACTTGGAGACCCGTAGAGGAACTGTGACAGCAAAGATCCTGCCCAAAAGAGATGGTGACAGACAGCATGGGAAGAAAAAAGCTGCAGACACCTTGGAGGTTACTAATGAAAACACAAAACCCAACAATCAGTCCTCTGGTTCATTTTTAACTGATTAACGGCTGGCATACAAAAAAAGTAATTATGGCAGATGATGACAAAGCTGGGAAGCAATTTGAACAAGAAGGTATATTGAGTTATTAATAAAACAGGCACCATGGCCACAAAGTCTGGATCCACAGGATTAGGATGAAAGTCACTAATATACAATGCACAATCACATATATAAAATAAACTTGCCCCAGCCAGACACTGGAGGGTGATTAGTGTCTGGAGAAGGGCCTGGATGCACCAGCCCATTTCAGCACAAAATGTCTGTGAGTCACCACTGAGATGCAGCTGCAAAAAAACACACGTGCAATCCTGGGATGTATCCAGAGAAATGTGTCCAACGGAGAGAGGAAGCACAGAAAAGTACATAGAGGCACTGCTAAAATCCCATCTGGAATGCTGCATAAGAGAGGCTGCCCAATTCAAAAAGGAGGCATTAGAAACACAGGAGGCTGAAGGAGGATTTCCAGCACTGATATCACACACAGGGAGAGAGGGATGGAGGGGCATTTACAGGGAATGCAGTTGCTCCTTGTAAGGCAGCGAAGATAACCACGAGGAAGAGAAATAAACCACTTCAGACAAAAAAGGCTCCTGATATCAGAACAAACAGGTATCACCTGGCCAGGAGTAAGTTTAGGCTTGAACCTTTCAGAACAGCAAAGCTCGGGGAGAAGTTTTTGATTACAATAAACCTACAAGCTTAAGGAGGCCCCGTTATGACACATTACCTGCTTTCTTTAGCTCCAATCATTTTTTTGTAGCTGTCCCATCTAAACATTCATTGAAGGGTCTATAAAACTGTCACCAAGAGCAGCTGTTTCAGTTCTCAGTGCTGGTGGGGGAAGGTCAGACTGTGAGTTATGGGGCTGGGGGGGAAGCTGATTTATAGGGTGAAGTATAAATGGTTACTGTAATATTCCTGCATATCGAAAAGGCAAACAAATATTGCTTAATTTAAAATAATGTTAGCCACTTTGTTTACATTAAAATCCTCACGTAAGTATGGTAATAAAAAGTGGGCACTAGAAAAGCTCAACCAGACATGAACAGTATCTCACCCTACTTCCCAATATCCCACAAGGAAGAGATCCGTAAAACTGATGCAACATATGCCAAATTGCTCCTTGGAATAACCACATTCCCTTCCCTGGAAACAGTTCTTGAACTCTGCCTTCATGGGCTATCAAAGGGATCTTTGCCTTTTCTCTGCCTGTGTACAACATCTCTCATGCAGACATTTTACTAAGACTGGTAAAACTGAGGTCAAAGTCCCCAGAATGAAAGAGTGCAACTGGTAGGAGAATAATTTCTGGTTTGATACTGAAGCACAGCAGTGTTATGCAAGAGAACGGGATCCAAGAGAAACTTTTAGTCCGGTGCTGTTTACTGTACTGGTACCTGCACAAGAGGTACTTGAGCCCTAAAGAATGAGAGAGAAGCTCTTCCAATTAAGAATCTCATAGCGTGTGTATATATATATATTATATATACTGTATATATATAGAGAAAGCATATATGTGTGTGTGTGTACACATCTATCTATCCATCTATCTCCATATATAGACAGATATATATATAGACAGATAGATATATATATATAGACATATATATATATATATATATATATATATATAGATATATATATATATATATATATATATATATATATATATATATATATATATAGACATATATAGACAGATATATAGACAGATATATAGACAGATATATAGACAGATATGAACTGGACATTGCAAGTTGTATCAAATTGCTTTTCTAATGTCTCCTAAGATGGAACAAACAGATTTAGGCAGTACAGGGAGGACAGAGTCACATTTAGGTACACACATTTTTTCCATTTCAAAAAAGTCCCCCAATTAAATATAAATGTGCATGCACTTTAACACATTTTCTCTCTTGCACAGTACTTTGCATTGAATTCAACATAACCTCCACGTTTCCATTAGCTACTCTGATACCACAGCTTTGAAAATATTCTCAGTGCTCCAACATTTAAGACATACAAGACTCAAAAGTGCACACATATAACTCTGTCTTCAGCATCATCTCAAAAGGAGAACATTTCATTCCTTTTTATCTTCCCCACCCCTTCTTTCCTTTCTCTTTCTCTTAAATAATTTATTAAAATTACTGAAAGCATTTGCTGGTCAGCTTTAATCCTCCCCATAGGAGTTATCAGTATCTTTGAATCTTCTGAGTATTTACTTGACCCACTTGCTCTACTCTCTAAAGACCACCTTCCATATAATACCCTGATGTTGATGGATGAATGTCAGGAAAATAAGAAAAGGGGAAAAAAATAAAAAGCTTGATAATGTATTTTTAATCACAAATTACCTTTCTCTCTAGACAGTAAAACTGGTTTCATGGCATACTTCTCTCAGTGTCTTATGGAATCATCCAACATTAACAGAATGGCTTCGAGAAATTTCTTCCTGCCACCATCCTACTACTGTGACCATCACATCTTGAGAAGGAGGGCCTCTAAAAAATAATTGCTTCCCTAAGGATAATTGGAAATGATTGACTTGAAAGTGCTTTCAGAAAAGGAAGTCTTCAGTCACAGAAGGAAAAACAGAGAGGATATCAGTAAGTTATGATGGGTATACAACGAACAATCAGAAATGTTTTTTCCTCCCTCATAATCCATAACTGAGCTGTGATCCTTCTTGCCATGGCTGTGAGTAGACTGACAAGTGGAATTATTAATGACATGGAAATGACAGAGCAAATACCAGTCATTGTGTTGACTGTAAATCCTTTTTTAAGACATCCACTATAAAGCAGACTACTGACCTAGATGGACAAATGACAGACAAACCCTCTCCCTTTCCAAGATGGAAATTACACTTCTGCGGCAAACAAAGCGGTTAATTTTCCATTGCAATTTGCAACCAAACCCTTCAGTTGTAAGACAGGGAACAGATAAGCAAGAATGAAGTGAGTGAATGTATCTGTGGCCTTATGACTCCAGAGAGTTCTCTTTTCACTCATCACGAGCGAGCTGGAGCACCAGCAGCCCACCAGTTACACTTAACCCTGTCCATA